GAACTAAAATTTCAAATGCCTTACGCTCTAGGCGTCGTTTACTGCGCACGTCATAGATTGTTTTCCACGGGCTTTTCTTTGCTCTCATCTGGCATCCCGCGTAAGGGATTAGTCTCTGGCAATGGTCCACATATTGCATTCTAAAAACAAAGAAATTTGTACAATCACGCGTCTGTTTACCTCTTCAAGTCCTCTCCAGCCCTGCGGCCGCGCCAGAAACTGCGCCAGCCGGACAGTGAGCGGCGCGTATCCTGAAAAGACGTATGCGATGTCGTTTGGGTTCTGAAAAGTGAAAACGAAAATTAATATCCTGATATCCACACCATACTGGCCAATTCTTGACATGTCCTCCAGCCCATAAGTCGCTGCGATACCTTCGACCGACACACTCTAGTAACCCTCACTTCATGCCTTGTTATATGAAGAATACCAATTTAAAATACCCATCTCTATTTACCTGCTCTTGGACATCTTCCACGACAAGCTTCATTGACTTGCGCAATTGATTGTAAGATCGAGACGGCTGCGTCTGCGCTCTTAGCAAGCCAGCAGTTTCCAATGTAGAAAGCGTCCTGTACGTATGCTCAAAGCCATATGTCTACGAAAAAGAGAAATGGCGCTTCAGGCTTTGGCAGACTACAGAGGAAACTTCAGAAAGGTAATGATTGAAAGCATTCCATTTTTCGTTCTTTTTTTTTCTTTTTTTTTATTGTGCATTTTTATTTTTTTTCTTTACCCAAGTGGAAAAGCAAACTAAGAAACTCACCTGTAGGATTTCCCGATAGTAGAACTCCAACATCTTCGGTTTAAAACCGTTATTTGTAAACACTGAGCACACAACAAACGAAGCACCTTGCAAAATTTGAAAAAAAGAAAGTGAAAGATAGATTGTTGCAATGAGAAGCAGAGAGGGGAAGAGTTAGGGGATGGGTGGGGGAAATCGTGAACGCATGTAAAATGTACGTTATCAACTGCAAGCACTTTTGCGTCAGCCAATAAGATTCTAGAAGTCATACTGTGCAAGAGGGTTTAAAACTTTAAAGATCTTAGACAGGTCATTAGGTGATGGTATCGTCTGTTTACTTACGGTAATCAGCGGTTTCTTCAATCCAAAGCATTTCTCTATGTAAGGGTTGATTTTATCCGTGTCCAAGCCTTGAGCCAGCTCTGAACAAAAATTCGAAAAAACGATGGAAATATATTTTTACTATATTGTATTGTTGAATGCAACAAAGTCAAACGTTTTGAGAATTAATCAAATCATCATCAGTTAGATATTCTGGTAGCTGTCATACTCAGCCAACTCAAACATACAAGTTACAAGCGTAAGTAACTTTGGAGTTATGTAAAAACACATCGATTAATTTAGAGGTACGCCTTCTTCTTTCATCTACAGACGCAAGGCTGTCGTGGAGGTTAGAGCGAAGAGAAAAACATTTTTGAGCTTGAAGCTAAAGGAGGAAAAATGGGCGACAAGTTTTGAAATTAAATGAGTCACTAGCTGTAAGACTTTTTTAACAATTTTTTTACTGAAGTTGGTTCATTTTCATCCATGTAAATCGGGAGTTATCTTTGCCATTTATTAAAAAAAAATTTATTTTCCCTTTGAACTGACAGAAGTCGTTAATTGAAATTCAGTGTGACTCCTAAAATTTGCATTTCCGTTTGCAAGAGGGTAGCGAAGCATTTCAAAACAGAAAGCAGTAGGGTGGGTTTTGTTCAAAACGAGACAAACAACTACGATTACCATGATGCAGTACTAAACGAGTCACGAAATCTTTGGAGTATGGGCACGGCTTAAGAGCAATATTCCCTTGGAAAAGTTCTTCAGACTAACGGAAGAGGATTTCAAACCTTCAATTTGCTTGAATGAACTTCAAGGACAACTTATGTTGTCAAACGATGTCATTATGTTGTTGTAAATTGTGAGTTATCTTTACCATTTGTCACAACAAATAAATTTTCCCTTTAAACTGACAAAAGTCGTTGATTGAAATTCCGTGTGACTCCTAAAATTTGCATTTTCGTTCGTAAGAGGGTAGCGAAGCATTTCAAAACAGAAAACAGTATGTGGGTTTTGTTCAAAACGAGACTGATAACTACGATTACCATAATGCAGTATTAAACGAGTCACGAAATCTTTGGAGCATGGGGACGGCTCAAGAACAATATTTCCCTTAAAAAGCTCTTCAGACTAACGAAATGGGATTTGAAACCCTTAATTTGGTTGAAAGAACTTCAAGGACAATTGATGTTCTTAAACGATGTCATAATATTGTAAAAGAGAAAGACAGGTTGTCAATGACGTCATAGGGAGTTGTAGTCACGTGATTGCTTTCAGGAAAAAATGAATATCCAAATCGAGGGAGTAGCGGTAACTATGTCTAACTCTGACTGACGGAAATACTCGTTGTCTGTAACTTTTAAGCAAAATTTCGTCTACTTTTCGCAAGTAACTGGCCTCTACGCAAGGAGATTCAACCCGAAAATTTCTCCCCAATGACATACGCAGTAAGATTCACAGCATAGCAACAGAGAAAGTCTAACTTTACGTGCTGCATCGTGCTCTTGGCGACTAGGTTGTCAAACAATCCAATCATTGTGAGTTATGGTGGATCAAAGAAATCAAGAAATCTTAATGTAGCACCTCGACAACCTGAAATGGAAATGGCTGTCAACAGACCACCGACATCTGATTTGAAGCCCGAACTTGTTCAACACCTGCCTCTACAAGATCACGGCCATACGTCAAGAGTAAACATGGAGCACAAGAACGAAGAACGAAGTGAGAGGATTTCATCGGCTGAGTGGGAAGCCTTACTTAGAAGAACGTATAAGAAATACGCAGAAAGCTTCCCAGAGCTAGGAGATGCCCCTCCAATAATGTTTAATTCCCTAAGAGAGTTGAGGAAAGCCGTAGACGACAAATCCAAGGGACATATAATTCAATATTCTAAGCTGAGAGGAATACTCGTAGAGTTGTTTGAAAAAAGTTACAGCACATGTGAGTCAGCGCGGACGAACGACTCAGAAAAATTCAATGCACTTATGGAGTTTATAATTGAAGGCGAAGGAGCAACAGTGCTGCATAGCTTCGTGAAAAACTGTTTCAAAGATTTCTATACTAATGGAAAAGACGAAAAGTTGGGCACAAGTTACCAAAAGGAGACTTATACTTGCGTTAAGAGCCTATCATACGCATTGTCAACAATACAAAACTTTACTGATTTCCACGATGGTTTTTGCTTGGCGAGCGCTCAAGATGGAGTTGTACTAACTTGCATGGATAATATCAAGAGGATCGATCAAGAGAATGATGACTGGCAAAGCGAAGATGAAGAATCTGAAATATTTGAAGTACTAGACGCGTGCATCTCAATTTTGCACAACATTTCTCGCCGACTGCGAGATCGCCAATGGTTTGCTAACAGTGACGACACTTTGCTCTATTTTGCAAAAGTTAAAGTGGCAAGTATCGCTGCCACGGCGTTGTTGTGCCTGACTTACCTTGTTGATGAAGAAACTAATCATTTGATATCCGCCAACAAAGACTTGCTCCGCTTCATTATAGCAATGTTAGACGAAGCTTGCGAGGCCGAAGACCACAAAAGCAACGGATTCTCCGCTAAGGAACTTGTAGAAGGACTCGGTCGTTTGGCAATTAACGACAACAATAAGAAAATTCTTGGAAACGAAGGGGCAATAAGAGTCTTAACGTCAAGAATCAAGACCTCGAGCGACGACGAGGAACGAGCGAGTGCGGTCGAGGCATTGTGGATGCTGGCTTTCGCCAACTCAAACAAGGATATTATTCGAGAGGGAGACGGGACCATGGAGATCTTACGCACATTACACCACAGTCAAAACGCTGAAGTGCAAAAGGCAGCCGCTGGAGCATTGTGGGAGATTGAAGGAAAGACAGCAAGAGACAAAGCCGATAAGACAAAAGAGGGGTCTGGAAACCACGTGATGATTAGCTACCAACGGGATGCTCAGGAAATCATGATCCAAGTCAAAAATCAACTTCAGGCTAATGGATGCAGAGTATGGATGGATCTGGAGCAAATGAGTGGGTCCACACTAGAGACAAGGGCCAAAGCTGTTGAGAACGCTGCTGTTGTACTGATCTGCGTGTCACAACGATACAAAGAGAGTCCAAACTGTCGTTCAGAGGCCGAGTACGCCTACCAGTTAGGAAAAGACATCATTCCTTTGATGATGGAGGAAAATTACAAAGCGGATGGCTGGCTAGGAATGCTATTAGGAACGAAACTGTGTATTGGCTTTCAGAGTAAGGATAACATTGATTCCGGTGTGACAAAACCGGTCAAAGAATTGGCGGGAAGAGGAAAAGATGTGGATCACACAGACGGCCCCCCAAAGAAGAGGATTCGAAAAACTACGGCCACCACTCCAACAAAACAGCCCTCTAGTCCAGATGTAGCCGAATGGACAAATGAGGACGTGAAGAGATGGCTGGAGAAAATTGGATTAACACAGGTGTGTGACGAAGACATGGTTGAATTCACTGGACAAACACTGATTGAACTTCAAGAGCTCCGAGGAGAATGCCCAGATTATTTTTACAAGTGTCTTGAGCGCACATTTCAGCTTAAAAACATGTTTCATGTACTCAAGTTTAGAAAGGAGTTGGACAAACTGCTAGGAAATTAATTGCGATTGGCGAAATATGCAATTCCTCTCATTCGCCTAGTTAAGGAACAGTTGTGTGATGTGTGTCACACAATTCTTTACATTTAGGGGCAAAGCTCGTGTATGATCATGAACTTTTGGACTGTAAAGATGAATCGTTCATCAAACGGACACGCTTTCACATGAGCAAACTAAGACAAAATGACCCAACGTACCCCGAGAATAGATTCTTGTTTTTATTTACAATTTGTTTTCAATCAGTTCGCCAAGGACGTAAATCCGAATGGAATAAGTTCGGTGGTTGAAAAACGGGTCGCAGCAACCAAATCCAATGTTGACGCTATAGCAATAATATTCGAATAGCAACTGAAATATGTACTAAATTCTAGAGATAAAAGCGTTATACTCAAATTTCTAATTGAACAATTTGCTAGTTTCTGCACAGCCATGTACAGTTTTGTTAGCCATGTTTTTTTTAAATTAGGTTGGTTATAAATCATACATTTCCAGTTCTTTTGTACCATTGTTGAGCTCACTTGTTGACTGCCATTAGCACTGAAGGATTTTCTGAGGTTTAAAAATTACCTCTAAGGTTTTAAAAGCCAAAGAAGGTTCTAAATCACCATAAATTATCGATCAGTCGAGATGGCATTGAACATACTCCAAGATTTTTTTTTTAAGATCCAGTGCAAAGATGAATATTGATATGCTAAATACAATTCCATATTGAGAAAAAGGGAAGTTGACGCTTTCGTTTTTGAAATACAGGCACATTGTTAATAGTGTTTAAAAGAGGGTGTTATTTTCTAACCAGTCCCTTCAAAAGGGTTTTATAATATCTATCAAGTTATTTTTTATGATATTTACAGTCGTAGTTGTAGGCTCCTTGGAAGAGTACTTTGTAGTGATGATAAATACCGTGGATAAGTAAAGTTTTCATTCATTCATTCATTC